GAGAGAGAGAGAGAGAGAGAGAGAGAGAGAGAGAGAGAGAGAGAGAGAGCGAGCCTGGTTTTCTAGATCTCACTCTGTAGCCCAGGCTGGCCTCAAACTCACAGAGATCCTCCTGCCTCTGCCTCCCAAGTGCTGGGATTGAAGGTGTGCGCCACCACCACCCGTCAAATTATTTTTTTTATTGTTTGTGTATATGTGTGTGTGTCTGAGAGTATGTTTGTGCACCACACATGTGCAGGAGCCCACAGGGCTCAGAAGAGGCCATTGTGTCTCTTGGAACTAGAGTTGTAGCAAGTTGTGAGTGGCCATGTGGGTGCTGGGATCCACTGCAGCTCTTCGGCAAGAGCATGAAGCCCTGGGAGCACCGTGCCGTTTCTTCAGTCCTTTAGTTCTTTACAGGTTTTAACTGTTAATTTCAATTTTTTTATTTTTACATATTTACAAATTTTTACATGTATGAGTATATTCCTGAATGTATGTATATGTACAATGTGTGTGCTTGGTGACCACTGAGGCCAGAAGAGGGTGTTGAATCGCCTGGAACTTAGTACAGACACTTGTGAGCCACCATGTAGATGCTGGGGATTGAACCTAAGTCTTCTGCAAGAACAGCAAGTGCTCTGAACCTCTGAGTCATCTCCCCTGGTCTCTTTTGTTTGTTTTTTGTTTCTTCGAGACAGGGTTTCTCTGTGTTGCAGCTCTAACTATCTTGGAACTCGCTCTGTAGACCAGGCTGGCCTTGAACTCACAGGGATCCACCTGCCTCTGCCTCCTGAATACTGGGATTAAAAACAAGCACACCACCACCGCCCGGCCTGATCCCTTTTTTTAAATTAAAAATAAATTAGTGTGTGCAGTGTAGTGTGTGTGTGTGTGTGTGTGTGTGTGTGTGTGTGTGTGTGTGTGTGTGTGTGATGTAGTGTATATGTACCTTTTAATGTAGGTGTGTGCATGTGTGTGTCTGGGTGTGAAGTCAAAGGTGAATGTCGGGTGCCCTTCCTTCCTCAACTGTTTTCCACCTTCAGTTTTTGAGTCATGGTTTCTCAGCCTAAAGCTTATCAATTTGTTTTGGCCAGTCCGGCTAGCTGGACAGTGAGCTTCAGGGGTCTGCCTGTTTCTGCCCCTACCTCTACCCCCTCCCCATTAGATTCTAGGTTGACCTGAAACTTGCTGTGTAGCCCAGGCTAGCTTCTTACATGTGGCATTTCTCCTGCACCTACCTCCCCAGTATTGGAATTCCAGGTGTGTGGTGCCATACTCAGCATTTAGAACTTTTTTTTTTTTTTTTTTTTTTTTTGGTTTCTCGAGACAGGGTTTCTCTGTGTAGCTTTGCGCCTTTCCTGGAACTCACTTGGTAGCCCAGGCTGGCCTCGAACTCACAGAGATCCACCTGGCTCTGCCTCCCGAGTGCTGGGATTAAAGGCGTGCGCCACCACCGCCCGGCTTAGAACTTTTTTGTTGTTGTCCTTTAAATGTTTAAACAATGTCGTCATGTTCTCCATATGAAGTAAGATGAGGTTTTCCTTGCTCACTTAGTTGACTTAGATGCGCCAGCCTTCCCGAGTGTTTTTTCGGTCTGTCTTTCAGATCAGGGCCTTCTCTGTCTCTTCACGTCTACTTGTGTGAGAGTGCAGATGTGTCGTACGGGTGTCTTGTAGAGCCACTGCCCAGACACAGAGAGAATACACTGTGTTATTTACTGACACAACTTCAAATTCAAGCTTATAATATGTGCTGAAGAGCAGAGGCTAGCCAGCCTTTTCTCCCAAAGGCTCAATGGTAGATATTTTAGCTTTATGGGCTATATGGTCTATCGACAGTATGTAGATTAGTGAGTGACACTGTGCCCAAAACACTATTTCCAAAACAGGTAATGAGAAGGTTTGGCCCTGGGCTGCTGTACCAGCCCCATGGCTGAGATCAGATCAGTGATACATGCCAGGGGTTTGTGCTGGGCATTGACTCAGGGTGGCATAGACATTCTGAGTCCTGGAAAAGTCCTTCACCCAACTGGTAATTACATGGATTAATTATGACAAGAAAATGCCACTTAAAAACAGGGTCCAGTAGGTATGGTGGCACACATCTTTAATCTCAGCAGTCAGAAGGCAGAGGTAGATGAATCTTTGTGAGTTCAAGGCCAGCCTGGTCTAATCCAAGCTCCAGGCCAGCCAAGACTACATAGTGAGACACTGTTTCATAAAAAACAAAACAAACACACAAAAAAACAAACAACTACAAAAAAACTGGGTCCAGGGCCAGGGAAATGGTTTAGTGAGGACAAGCCTTAGCTGTACAAGCCTGACAACCCAAGTTTGAGCCTGGAAAAAGGGTCCATAAAAAGCTAGACATAGGCCGGGCGGTGGTGGCGCACGCCTTTAATCCCAGCACTCGGGAGGCAGAGCCAGGCGGATCTCTGTGAGTTCGAGGCCAGCCTGGACTACCAAGTGAGTCCCAGGAAAGGCGCAAAGCTACACAGAGAAACCCTGTCTCGAAAAACCAAAAAAAAAAAAAAAAAAAAGCTAGACATAGTGGTGTTAATCAGTAAGCCTGAGAAAGGAGGCAGAGGCAGGAGAAGAGGCCACAAGCTCGAAGACTAGCTCGTCTGGAATAAGCTGCACAGGGGAGAAACAAGACAGATCCTGACTCAACCTGGTGCGGGGAGAGATTCGGCTCCCAATGCTGTTCTCTGACCTCCACGTGCATACTGCACTGTGTGCACCTGTGCTCACGTGTGTGTTTGTGCTTGCACATGCACAGATTAAAAGACAAACTCGTGTATGGTCCAGGTTGTCAGCTGGGGAATCTATGCAGGAGAAAGGACAGTAAACTGGATTATTTCCTCGGGTCGAGAGACGGATAGGCTTTTGTATGTTTTTGTAGGATCTCATGTACCCAGACTGGCCTTAAATTTGCTATGTATTCGAGGATGGATGATCTGGAACTCCTGATTCTCCTGCATCCACCTCTTGTGTGCTAGGATTACAGGCATGTGCCACGATGCACTGCCCTCTTTCCTTTTGTGAGAGAGTCTAACTCTGTAGCCCTGACTGGCCTGGAACTCACTGTTAGCCTAGGATGGCCTTGAGTATGCAGCAGTCCTTTGCCTCAGCCTCTGCTTGGATTACAGGTAGGGGTCACGATCTTTCTTGGCTGTCACTTGCTTTCTATAGCTTCTAAAATTCTGTCGCATTCCTAGTATACTCTTAGCTTTGTTTCTTTTTTGCAGATAGGAATCAAGCCCAGGGTCTTTACATGCTAGGCAAGGGCTCTACCATAGAGATATATCTCCTGGCTCTTTGGTTTTTTTGGGCAGTATTGCTCTGAGTCCTTCTGCCTCTACTTCTCAAGTACTGAGATTATTCTGTCATTCCTATCTGGCCTTAATCTTTGAGATTTTGACCATTTACATCCTTTTAGAGAGTAGAGATGAGCATTGTATATTTGATGAAGACAGAAGATCCACTGATCTGTCCTTGAACCTCTTTAAATCTCAGATTAAGCCATAAGCAGCATAGCAAAGGCAATGAGAATTAGATTAATATTCAGACTTCAATCAAAATCTCCTATTAACTCCAGTGTGCTATTTGATAGCAAAACAAAACATCAGAGGCTTTGAAAGTGAAGGGATTCGAATCCACTGCTCACAGGCATGTACTGTGGTGTGAACCTAACTGGCTTGATATTCTACAATATAACAACTCAAAAAACAGCCTTCTGGAGGAAACCCACAAGGTATAATCACATCAGTAAAAGAGAGATTATAGTGTTATATGACCTTTTCATGGGGATACGTGGTCAGACATGTAGTTAGCTCAGATATGGTACCAATCACAGACCAAAGTAAATAGTCTACCCAAGTGTAGCTTGCTGAACTAGTGAGTTTATTTGGCTTATGCATGGGAGCATGGATGACCCCTCTCCCCAAACAGCTGTATATTAGATACCTTTCTTACAGCTGTGACAGTCCTTGACAAGAAACAATTTAAGGGAGGAAGGGTTTATTTGGATTACAGTTTGGGTAATCCCTTCCATCGTGGTAGGGAAGACATGATGACATGAGCAGGGAGGTAGGGGATCCCACGGCATCACCCATCAGGAAGCAGAGGAAGTGGGATTGGGCTACAAAGCCTCAAGGCCTACCTAGTGGTTACCTTCTCCAGTGAGGCTCCGCCTCTAAAAGTTCCTCAGCATTTCCCTTATTTTATTTTATTTTTTTCTATTATCAGCTTGATACAGTACAAATTCTTATCCTAATAGTGAAATGTTTCACTGTGGCTTGCCCAGTGATTGAGTAAAACCAAAACTTATTATAAGCCACAGTCATCCTAGGGTCCCCCCTGCTATGTAGCCTCCCTGGTTCTGTGGGTTGCAGTCTGATTGTTCTTTGCTTTATATCTAGCATCCACTTATGAGTGAGTACATACCATGTTTGTCCTTCTGGGTTTGGGTTACCTCACTCAGGATATTTTCTAGTTCCATCCATTTGCCTGCAAATTTCATGCTTTCATTGTTTTTCTCTGCTGAGTAGTACTCCATTGTGTATATGTGCCACATTTTCTTAATCCATTCTTCAGTTGACGGGCATCTAGGTTGTTTCCAGGTTCTGGCTGTTACAAATAATGCTGCTATAAACATAGTTGAGCATGTATCGTTGTGGTATGATTGAGCATTCCTTGGGTATATGCCCAAGAGTGGTATGACTGGGTCTTGAGGTAGATCGATTCCCAATTTTCTAAGAAACAGCCATACTGATTTCCACAGTGGTTGTACAAGTTTGCACTCCCACCAACAGTGGAGGAGTGTTCCCTTTGCTCCGCATCCTCTCCAACATAGACTGTCATTAGTGTTTTTGATCATAGCCATTCTGACAGATGTAAGGTGGTATCTCAGAGTCGTTTTGATTTGCATTTCTCTGATGACTAAGGATGTTGAGCATTTCTTTCCCCTTTTTTTCCCCCCAAGACAGGGTTTCTCTGTGTAGCCTTGACTGTCCTGGAACTCTATCTGTAGACCAGGTTGGCTTTGAACTCACGAAGATCCGCCCTACTCTGCCTCCTGGGCACTGGGATTAAAGCACCGCCACACCTGGCTTCTTCAGCCTTTCCTCAGTTGACACCAGGCATTTCAGTTATGCAGGAACTTCTAAAGGTCTCCAGGAACTAGTGTCCACAAATCTGTTGAACTCTAACTCTGACAGTAGCAAGTAGTGAGCAGGAACTCACATTCATTGCTGATGGGAATGTGGAATGGTACAGCCACTGTGGAAGGCAATCTGGTTTTGGTTGTTTGGTTATCTGGTAGAAGTTTTTGCTTTGTTCTGATTGATTTTTACAGAGTTAAGGATGCAGATACCATGTGATCTAGGAACCTCCCCTCATATATCCAGCAAGAAATATGAGCACAGAAACCTATGTGTGTGTTATAGCATCTTTATAGTCGCTGTATCTGAGAAGCAGCTCAGCCCCTCACAGGGGATACAGGAATATGCATGGCAGGGCTATTGAGTGTTTGACTACTGTTGTGTGGCTATTTGATGATAGTGGTTTCTGCTCTCAGTGACCTCTACAGAAAGCATACATGGGTTGGGGCTTTTGCAACCCTTATGGCAAGGGGCTATAGACAGAGCGGGATGTTGCACAACCAGGCCTGTGAGTCCCAGGAAAGAGCATGTAATCCAGTAAACATGCAGGTCAGTGGGCCTGACCCATAACGCCTGTCAGCCAAACCTTTGCGATGTTTTGCTGTGATGATTTTGGTTTAGGTCAAAATTGCCAGTGTCCACAGCACGCCTGGGAAGGTGACAGCTGTGTGGGTAGGAGTCAGGCAGGCCCTCCAGAAACCTCTGCGGGTTGTGGGGATCCCCCGGGGGCTTTTGAGGTCCCTCGTGCAGGACTAACCAAGTTGTTGTTACAGGGTCACACTGCACCCTACAAAACAGTTTCTGCCCGTGCAGCTGTCTCGTCCACCATCCTCTGGCTTCCTGCAGCAGCTTTTCAAGGAGTGTTTGAGAAGTACCCTGAAACTCTGGTGAGGGTAGTGCAGGTAAGTTTCTTTCTAGCAGGCTTTTCTATCTGCCTTGGGCCATCTCAGGCCCTGGAGCTGGGCGTTGGCATGGATCCCATTAGGGCTGTTTCTGGTTATGTGCCAGTTCTGGATTCGGCACTGTGGGTGAATGCAGAGAATGTAGAACTGACTCTGCTGGCAGGATTTACTGCTGAGGATGGCAGATTCTAGAAAGTACTTTGTAATACAGGTCTGCAGTGGTGGTGCATGCTTTTAGCCCAGCACTCAGGAGGCAGACAGGGAGTGTTCTGTAAGTTCAAGGTCAACCTGATTTACATTGCAAATTCCAGCCAACTACAGCTACATAGTAAAACCATGTCTCAGAAAAAGGGTGGGGAGGACATGACAAAAATATATTGTACAAGAAAAAATTTTTTTCAATAGAAAAAAGTTTTTTAATTATATTTTTTTGAGACAGGGTTTCTCTGTGTAGCTCTGGTTGTCCTGGAACTTGCTCTGCAGACCAGGCTGGCCTCAAGCTCAAAAATCTGCCTGCCTCTGCCTCCTGAGTGCTGAGATTAAAGGCGTGTGCCATCACCGCCCGGCTAGAAAAAAGTTTAAAAAAAAGAATAGTCATAAATTGGACAGAGTGGTGGCACATGGGTGTAACCCCAGCCTTTGGAAAAGTGAGGCAGGATGGTCTTGAGTTCAAGACCGTGTTCAAGGCTACATAGCATGTGCTAGGGTGTCCAGAACAAGACTCTGCCTCCACAAACACAAAATAGACCGGGCACGACTGCTTGAGTCCAGTCCCCAGGACTAAGTGGTGGAAGGAAAGAACCGACTCCCGTAAGTCAGTCACTTTCTGAGTGCCACGTGTGTCCTGTGGCGTGTTCACACCCACACACTCGCACAAGGAAAGAAATGTGGGGGTGGGGTGGGGCTGAGGAGGTAGCTTGGTCAGTAACGTGCTGACCTTGTAAGCGTGAGGACTTGGATTTGATCCCCAAGACTCAGTGTGAAAAAGCTGAGTGCATGTGACCTGGGGAGGCAAGTGCACCCCTGAGGCCGGCCAGCCCACTCTAGTCAGTGAGCCCCAGTTCCCAGTGAGACCCCGTCTCAGAAAACAAACACAGCAGCTGACTCCTGTGGAGCAATACCTCTCCCTCCGTGTGCAAGGTCACACACCTCTCGCTCTTGTTTTACACACACACACACACACACACAGGCACGCACGCACGCACGCACGCGCACGCAAGTTAATAGTATTAACTCCATAGAAGCTTTCGGACCTCCCATTTCCCAAAAGAAACCTTAAAACTTCTTACTAAATATTTTAGACTACTTTTAGATTTACAGAAAATATGAAAACACTACTTGGTTCCTATGTGTCCCACATTGTTCCTCATGTTAGCACCCTGCTGCACAGTGGTGGAAAGGTGAGCTCTGGCCTGTGGTTTGGGGCCTGTGCTGGGGGGCTCAGCAGGAACTCCACGTGGCGCTGCTGGTGCCCAGCCTAGACTTGTCACCCCCCCCATCCCCCCCCCACCCCCGTCTCTTGCAGATCATCATGGTACGGCTGCAGCGGGTGACTTTCCTGGCTCTGCACAACTACCTGGGACTGACGACAGAGCTTTTCAACCCCGTGAGTGCAGGCCTCCTGTTAGCCTGCGTCGGGAGGGTGCGGCTCCCCCCAGGACGCCCCTGACTGGGCAGCCAGTCCAGCGGCCCTGAAGGTGGTCCTGGCCGTGGGGCCGGACTCTGAAAAGTGTGCTGGGCTGAGTTTACTCTCTTGCTTAAGTATATGCACGCTGGTGCGTTGAGTGACTCTACTGAAAGCCAGGATGTGGGGCAAATAGGCTCGTCGAACTCTAGAGGACTTAGCTGGCTTTGTTGCTTGCTTGTACCCCTAAGTCCTGTTGTACCCCGAAGGCTGGAATTCTGCAAGAGTCGGGCGCCCAGGTCCTGAGACTGGGCTAGGCCATCATTCCTTTCCACCTGTCCCGTCTTGCTCGTACTCTATGTCCTGCCCTTGACTTAACACTGAGCTGAGCTAATACTAAGCTATGGCCTGGAAGGTGTGGGGTATTGCCAAGGATGCCAAGGCCTTGCATCCTCGCTTTTGTTCCTCCTGGTAAAACCCGGCCGGTTACAGCCTGTGAAGTGGGACAAAGTTCTCACCCAGAAGGGCTCAGTAACAACTGAGCCAGTGCATTTACTGCTCTGTTCCTGTACCTGAAACAAGGACAGAGGAAGTTACTTTGGAACATGCAAGTGAGGTTCCAACAGAACTCCTGGCAGTTGGTAAGAAGTGCTTGGTACCTATGAATTGTCACTTCTTTGGTGATGTTTTAGAGTTTGTCGTGCTCAGTTGCTGATATTTTAGGGAATATTCTTTTATGTTACATGATTTTTCCTATGAAGAGTTGACTACATGGCCTATTATTTTGGCTGTATGAAGAGTTGGAGGCAGAACCCAAGAGAAGAACATGCTGAGCCTTAACAAGCTCATCCTCTGAACTGCTGGATTCTCTACTGGTTGCGTTGTCTTCATAGTTGATAAATAGTTGAGATCATAGCATGCTTATAGGGAACCCAGGGAATCCTGAGCACATCTAATGTTCTTCTCATCTCTCAGGAGAGCCAAGCCATCCCTCTCTTGTCAGTAGCCAGTGTGGCAGCGGGACGCGCCAAGAGACAGATGTCATATGGCCCAGAGGAGCAACTTGAGAGGTCCCCAAGGTCCTTGGAGTCCAGCAACTCAGGTACTACACTAGCTTAAGACCTTCTCACTCCACTTTCCAGGTTACTTAATCAGCCTCCATGTCTGCTCACCTTAATCCCAGGTTTCCTCACATGTCCCCAGGTCTGCTCACCTTAATCCTGGGTTTCCTCACATGCCTCCAGGTCTGCTCACCTTAATCCTGTGTTTCCTCACATGCCTCCTGGTCTCTTCACTTGCCCCTGATGTCTCTTAACCTGCCCCTAGGTCTTGTTACATGGGTCTAGGTTTTCTGACTGTCCTCAGGTTTCCTCACAGGCCGCCAGATCTCTTTATGTAACCCAGGTCTCCTCACCTGCCCTCCCTTCATATATGCCCAGAGTTCATGGTCTAGGATTACCTCACTGTCTCAGGTCTTCCTAGCTTCCCTCAGGTAACCTCCCACACTCTGAGCTATGTTCATATGTCTAAGAACCTTGCAGAACTTCTGTCTTTTGGTACTTCCTGCTGAGATTTGCTGCATGGGAGTGCTGTTCAGAAGAGCAAGTTCTCGGCTTCGCCTTCTGGCCCCCACTTGACAGCTACTCGAAGTTCTCAAGACAAATTAGATTGGGGAATAAACTGACCAGGAGTGCTTGAGCAGCATAGATTGCCTGTGTTGTATCATTACCACAAAGCCACTTTGAAAGTAGATATGCCGGGCGGTGGTGATGCACACCTTTAATCCCAGCACTCAGGAGGCAGAGACAGGCGGATCTCAATGAGTTTGAGGTCAGCCTGGTCTACAGAATGAGTTCCAGGACAGCCAGGACTGTTACACAGAGAAACCCTGTCTTGAAAAACCAAAAAAAAAGAAAGAAAGAAAGAAAGTAGATATGCCTTCAGTGTCTTAATAGTTCATCATACCCTGTGAAGGATTCCAGGAAACTAAATGAAGAGTAAGAAACTAAGTGAAACAGCCTTTGGTAAGGTCATGTAAACTGGAAATGCCCATTTGATCCTACCTCGGACAAGGCTTTGGACATTAGTGACCTCGAAACACATCCCTGGTTGATCTGGTTTTCCTCAGAAATGTACTTTAAAATAGATGTCATTTAAGTCTTTTCTCTCTGAGACTTTGGTCAGCTTGAGTGATGGAACCCTGAGGCTTGTCCTCTTGAAGGTGTTTGGTTCGGAGCAGCTGTCCAGTGTTGCATCTTCACAGAGATTGGTGTTGAGGAGTTTTATAGCCCTCTGTGGAAGCAGAGCTTGCAGTAACAGACAGTGTGCTGTGTGGTGGGCCAGGCCAGGGTCCTCTGAAGTCAGGTGGAACATTCGAGCCATTTTGCTCTAGGTGTGCTAATGGCCGTCTCTATAGAAGAAGGCCGTGGGAAAGGGTCCACTGGCAGACTCCCTGGTTTAGGGTTTACCTTCAGAGTACTTGGCGGCAGCAGGGGGTAGTCAGTTCAGGAGGCCCGTAGAGAAGGATGGCCAAGAGAGATACAGGGTTGGGGGGTAGAGAGCAGGACCAGCCTAAGGCTGACATTCTTGCATCATTCCCCTGGCAAGTGCTAACAGTGACATTACCTGATGGCCCTGTTTGGGTAAGTTATCTGCAAGTTTACAGGGTACTTGGGAGTGCCTTGGTCCTGTGCTGTTTTGGGGGACTCTGTTCTTTGACCCATCTGTAGTAACTGGAGCCAGACACTAGACCATGTGGAACTGGAGTAGCTCATTCCTGTCTCCTCCAGATCTTGAGAACATTCACCTGACAGTCTCTGGGCCTCTGCTGAAGAGGAGCTGCTCTGTACCTCTGCCTTCCATCCATGGGGAGATCTCAGATGAGCTCAGGCAGTCCCAGGGAAGAGGCTTTAATCTTTCAGCCTCCCAAGGTAAAGGTCCCCTGTTCCTGCAGCTTGTTCCAATGACAGTTCTGTATATCTGGGAGATGAGTCAAGCTGCCCCCTGCCCCAGTTTCACCTTGTCCTGACCTAGACAGCCTGAACTTGGTACCATTTATGGTTGGACAAGAGCCTGGGGCCCTGAGGCACTCACTCTCTCCCTGGGGCTGAGTCATTGCTGGGTGTCTGGCTGCTTTGCGTGTCCTGGTAAATTCTGCACACTGCCTTCTTCTACCAGTCTCGTGCATGCTACCTCCTGTGCATGGGCCCACCCACACCATCTGCCATCCTGGGCGGCCCATCTTCAGTGTCAGGCTCACCTCTGCTGGGTTCCCATCACAAACGGACATGCTCTGTGCCTCCTCGGCCTCCTCTTGTTTGCACCTAATGCCCAGAGGTGCCTGACCTCACTGCTTCCTCCTCTCTGTCTCCCTTTCTTTTGTGGAGCTTGTTGGCTTCCTGCCCATTTAAAGGCTGTC